GTGTGAATGAATCATTTGAAATCTGCTATTTGACTGGCAAATATTATCAACGCTTATATTTGAAAATAAAATAATTTAGTTTGAATTGAAAAGTTTATAGAACCATTTTATTGTTATTCCAGATCATAGAGACAGAATATCTCTTGGATCTTGTTAAAGTACTGGTACGGTTACTTGATGCAACTGAGGAATTAACTGGTCACTTGCTTCTGTATAACTCGATAAAGACTGGTAGGGCTCGTAGTACACAAGACTATAGATGAGGGTTTGCTGAGACTATAAAAAAATGCACAACAGACGCAGCTATTAATTTCCACTGCAAATCAAGAACTGTACCAAAATATGTATAATTTAATTATCTGATCAATAGGTAGATTTCAATATATTAGTATGGCGGTTGCGGAAATTGTTAAATTTGGTTGAAATTGCAAGTTAGACAACCATTGAAAACCTGAAAGCACTGGAAGATCGTTTCGTCCTGGCACAGGAATCTTTAGTATTGCACATCCACGACACCCAACCTTCAGTCTTGCGTGTAGATGCTTAAACTCAAGACACTGAGCTGGTATCCAACGGTGTACAAGTCTATGAACAAGTTAATGATTATCTATCTTGAATCGGTTTGTGTTTTAAATGAAATTTAACAATCTTCACAATCCCATATTGATAGTTATCGTATGCTGACTAGTGACTCGCTTCGAGAGGAAATTTCCGAAGTCCCGGTGGAAGGCAATGACCAGTGTAGTTAAGTCATGTAGGTCGTACGGGAATTACCCTCCAAAAACGATAGAAGATGGTCTTGGGTTGATTAAAGTTAGACTTGTACACCGTTGGATCCCAGATCAGTGATCAATTGGTCGGACGTTAACATATGAAACTGAAGGCTCTAAGTTTGATTCCGTGTTGGGAGGTGGTGAATATACACTACTGAGGAATCTCATACTAGAATGAAGAGACCATGGAGTGATTCCATGTTTTCAATGGTCGACTTACTTGGATTGGTTCGTGATTTCACCTTAATCCGAAAGTATTCAATTACGTAGGCAGAAGTTGATATAAATTAATAATAAATAAAGGATATGTGCATAGCTTACAGTGTACATTAACTGGTCATCATATATCAGCTGAGTCGATGGAGAGTGAATAAAATCTTAATCTGTCATACATCTCTGTTTTCTTCCTTGCATCATGCAAATTACAATTTCTCCTGCACCCTATTTCATGTTAACTTTCAAGAGGTTGTAACAAGTAATGACTGAGATGTGACTAAAAATGAATGTAATATTGAGTAAAAATCACAATGAATTTTAAGAAGAAACACATACACACAACATAATCTAGTAATTGTACTTACTTAATTACGCCTGTTACTCCCAAAGGAGCATAGGCCATCGACCAGCATTCTCCAACCCGCTCTGTCCTGGGCCTTCCTTTCTAGTTCTATCCAATTCTTGTTCGTTTTTCTCATATCTATCTTCATTTCCCGGCGTAATGTGTTCTTCAGTCTTCCTCTTTTCCTTTGACCTTGAGGATTCCATATGAAGGCTTGTCTTGTGACGTAGTTGGGTGCTTTCCTCAATATGTGTCTTATTCACTTCCAGCGCTTCTTCCTGATTTCTTTCTCCGCTGGGATCTGGTTTGTTCTTCCCCACAGTTGGTTGTTGCTAATAATGTCCGGCCAACGGATCTGAAGTATTTTGCCTAGACAGCTATTAATAAACACTTGCATCTTCTGGATGATGGATTTCGTCATTCTTTAAGTTTCCGCCCCATACAGTAGAACTGTCTTGACATTTGTATTGACAATTTTGACTTTGGTGTTAGCTTGTTTACAGTTGTTTTGAGTTCCAAATGTTCTTCAATTGTAAATATACTGCTCTCGCTTTACCTATCCGCGCTTTCACATCTACATCAGATCCACCATGTTCATCAATGATGCTGTCCAGATTTGTAAAGTTTTTTACGTCTTCCAAATCTTCTCCACCTGGAGTCCCTCCGGGGGCTACTGCCGATCCCAAACCCGGATAAATGAGGAGGGTCGGGCATGGGGTTAGTGACCCCATCCCGTAGAAAACTAACTCCCTAAAAAACGCTAACCAGAAACAATTATTCATTTAGTAATGTACTAATCAATGATAAAAAACACACAAACTATTCCATTATTGCTTAGGAGTCTCATACTAGAATGAAATAACCATCTAATTCTTCCAGGTTTTCCATGATAGTCTGCTTTCAATTAACTCATGAATTCAACTATTAAATTATTTCATTACTAATAAGAATCCACGTGACTAAATACCGATTGTATAGATTTTTCTATGGAGTTAAATTTATGTTTTATAGGATAAATCAATTTCCTACTGATAAGAAGTATCTGGATGAAAATAAATCAGCGTCGCTTTTTTCTCCCTTTTCTTCTTCTTCCCCTTCTTCTTCTTCTTCTCCTCCCTCTTCTCTTCCTTCTTCTTCTTCTTCTTCTTCTCTTCTTATTCTTCTCCTTCTTCATTTTCTTCTTTCCATATTTAATATTTTGATCAACAGAAATGTTATTTAGTTTAAACATTTTAGCATCTTATCACATGGCAGACTGTTTATAAATTTATGGTTGATAACTAATATTTCTTTATTATTATTATTATTATTATTATTACTGACTGTCATAATTACGTAACTGGGTAGATATTGCGTAAAAAAATAATAAGACAAATAGAATTCGAGAAAAAAAGAGTAAATCTATGAATTATGACATAGCGATAGTTGAGTAGTAATTAAATTTAAGGTTAATGTCAAATTATACTGATATGTATCAATCAAGATGAAGAAAACACACTTCAAGGTCACGATGTAGATTTTTGATCGTGATGATTGAAAATCGATAATAAGGATTTAGTATAGAATGATAATATCGAAAGTAGAACACAAGGGTTCTTTTGTCTAAAATGTACAGTACTGACTTTACAGGATAGAATATGTATCTGTGAATTTTCAGTGCATCTACTCCACAATGTTCGATATGTAAACAATATCTAGCATTTTTTTCATTCAATAAGTGGGTGCTTATTGCATAAAAGAGTGTAATTTTCATTGAGGATTTTACTTAAAGCTTTAAATTCCCCACCATTGAAAACCTGGAAGCACTGGACGGCCGTAATACATTCAAAATATTTAGAAGACAAAAAATAACACAAATCTTACTTCGTTTGACTGAGGTGATCACTTTCATATTTTTCCGACTTGGCCTATGTATACAGAAGGAAAGGTTGATTAGCCTTTCTCTGTCATGGTGATTGTTAATTTTCATCATTTTTCTTCAAATCTGTCCCCCGACCTTATTATTTTTTATTATTCTTTTGTTTTCTGATATTCGTCTCTTGCATAATCTGATTGGTTCACTTGGTATTGTTTACTTGAATCTTTCGATTGATGTTTAGGACGGTCGGCTATCAGGATTCAGTAGCTAAGTGGATAGCGCGATGACGTTCATGAGCGGACGTTATTTGGTTTGAGTGCCGGGATGGACACTGACTCGGGTGCGGGTACATCCAGTTGACGAAATACGCATCCTAGATTCCACTGCTAGCCACTATCCATTCATACATTTGTTTATTTTATCATGTTGAGTGATTACCTAATCATTAATTATTAATTTGATTAGCTTTATATAACCTCTGAATTATTACTTCTCAACGTATAAATACACATCAGTCTTAACTAGGTGTATTCATATACTTTGTACCCTGATTCTTCGCAATGTTATAACTTTAGTTACGTTTCGAACATTTATAGTGAGACTAATATTTGTGAACGACCTTTAAGCGACGCCTTAGTGACTTTAGTGACCTACTAACCAGGACTAAATGAGGGTTATAAACCAGTGTGATGAACTAGAATTATAATATACAGCTACTGATTATGTTTAGGAATTAGTTTTAGGTTTCCCATCACAAACTAAAATCAACTAAAATGCCAATATGCTATTTGACTCAATGGGTGAATGAATTTCGCGTCAAAATTCAAAACCTGTTATCCTAAATCTGATTAGTTCATTCATAAATTATAATCTCGCCACATTTATGTACACTTCACAAATCAAAGTTAACGTTTATTTCACAGATTGAAATCATGAGTCAATTGAAGCTAAACCACCATAGAAAACCTGGAAGCACATTAACACCATCGGATGCCGGCCAGCTCAGTCTTCTAATGGTTAGGTGCTCACGCGCGAGACTGATAGGTCCTGGGTTCGAATCTTGCGGGGTGCGAGATCGTGGGTGCGCACACCTTAGGAGTCCCATGCTAGGACGAAACAGCCGTCCAATGCTTCCAGGTCCTCGTGGTGCTCTAGCTTCAATTGGCTCACGATTTCAATCTGTGAAATTTCTAAAATCTCCACAAACCGCTTCTGATAAACTTTTATTATCAATTATATCAATATTTATAACTTTATATTGTATTCACCTAATGAGAAACCGTGAAATAGACTGTTCAATTGATTTATCATGTTTTGTGTGATGGTGTACATTTTATTGAATATTGAACAAACAAAACAAGATAATTATCTTCAACACAACTTTTTAACAAACATTTCGTTTGACTTTATATCAATATGTAATTTTAATGTAATATTACCATTAAACCATCTATGCAAACATTCACACACACACATTCACACAAACACATGACTAATGACCTAAGTGACTTTTTCTTTTCAACAACAACAACAACGACGACGACAACAACAACGACGTAAACGAAAAAAACCAAAACAATGTCAAACGACCGAAACTGTTTATGATAATGAATGAAGTTACTTACGTTTTTTTTTAAAAACTTGTATATTCACAAGGATTATTCCCTTTGTCGAATTTGTTAAGTAACCGAAAACATTTACGTATAAATGAAAAAAAATGTTTAACTTTTGTTATTATTGCGTGGGATTCAGTAATTTGTTGCGAACAGTTTTTAAAGGAATTACTTGACAACTAAATATAATGATTTCATCAAATTGAATTGATTATGATGAAGTAATTATGATTATCATGATTTATTATGCTCATCATCATCATCATCATCATCATCATCATCATCATCATCATCATCATCATCATCATCATCATCATCATCATCATCATCATCATCATCATCATCATCATCATCATCATCATCATCATCATCATCATCATCATCATCATCATCATCATCATCATCATCATCATCATCATCATCATCATCATCATCATCATCATCATCATCATCATCATCATCATCATCATCATCATCATCATCATCATCATCATCATCATCATCATCATCATCATCATCATCATCATCATCATCATCATCATCATCATCATCATCATCATCATCATCATCATCATCATCATCATCATCATCATCATCATCATCATCATCATCATCATCATCATTATTATTATTATTATTATTATTATTATTATTATTATTATTATTATTATTATTATTATTATTATTATTATTATCAATATATAGGAGGGAAATTCAGGTAATTCACTACGTTCTATTTGAGACTCATCAATTAGATGTACTGTTCATATTCCTAGTGTTAATGCTCACGCAATTGGATTGCAACTCACGTACCTATCTCTTCAAACATTGATGTATTAATCACGAAGTTGAATAGGCGTGATAACCACTGAAGATTTTTAACTCCTGTTTGTTGAAATTCAGGAATGTATGTGCTCAGTTTTTGTTGCCATATATGCATCCTTCTAGGAATGATTCAGTATAACTATGATCAGACAAACACCATGTACAATAGAACTTGTAACTAAAGACTATATCAAGTCAGTTTGTTCAGGATGCAAAACTGGCAACACAGATTGATTAATTTCAGTCTTAAATATGAACAATTGGAAGTTGTGAGCCCATAATTATATCAAGCCTCTATAGGCTTACATAGTTTTTTTAAGTGTTAACTAATCATGAACAGTTTGAATAAAACAAATTTAATTAATTTATTAACCCATTTCTTCAGTTGACCAAAAGCTTCAGTTTATTTGTTCATTGGAGTCAGATAAAATGTCATTGGCCAAGTTACGTAATTTGTTTAGTGAATTTTATGGGTCGTAATGAAAATGAATGAATAATTCTTTTATACTCAGTAATAATAGGTTGTCTGTCATTTTGGAGTACTTGTAACATTCATAAGGCCTATGTTGTTTGTAGAGCTAAAACCTATAACACTCAACTTCGCAGGCACAAATGTTACCATTAAGTGATTTGGATTATTTGAAAACATTCTTTGTTAAATTCTATAGAATACTCATTCTCTAGAAAGTGTCAACAAATACAAAGTTTAAACTGGAAAATTTTAACTGATCATATTGAGGAAAAGTTTCAAATAGATCCAAACAACTAAATGATTGATTTCAATTCTCTTAGATATTTTTAATTCTACTTCCTTTTCTCACCTACATTTATTTCTTGTTCTATTCCTTTTTGTGTATTATGTTATATTACTACTTACTATCATTCAGTAACTAATATCATTGTCAATCATTTCCGAACACTCAGACTGTGATATCGTTGGTCGCATCGGTGATGTTTACAAATATATAGATGATTTTATGACATTTCATGTATATCTTATCATAGTTGTATTCTCGTAACATCCGTGGACAGTTTATCTTCATAATAAAATGATGATATATATCTGACATCCTAAGTAGTAGGAATTCAAATTTCTGACCTTGTGTAAGTTACTTCTTCAGAGTTGATAAATAAATAATTGAATCAAATTAACACGAGTTTAAAACAGTCATCAAATCGATATGGAAGATAAAAAATTAGTCCAAAAAATAGTTGGGGTATTTTATATCATACTAAATTTCTCTACCTTCAATAGAAGGGAAAACCTGACTATCCATTGAACTTGTATCACTTATTCAAGCGAATGCATTTATTCTATACATTTTGAGATGAGAAGATTTGTATCTCAGGTGGATGATTTTGATGGAGTTTTGTTCTCTAAGCTGGATGTTTTGGTCGTGGAGCTTTCATCTTTCTTCCGAACGACATCATCAGCACAAACTTCAGATAGAAGTGAAGTGTTCTAATCGATCCAATTTATCAACCAATCAGGAAAATTATGCACAAATATAGGAACAAAAATCAAACTAATGGGGACATAACCAAAACAAAGAAGTAAACAATTACAAATTTAAGGTCAATAAGAACCAATCAACGTTGAGGTGTGCTGATGATGTCGTTCAGAAGGACGATGAAAGCTCCACGACCAAAACATTCAGCTCAGAGAACAAAACTCCATCAAAATTCTATACATTTCTCAAATAAGTAATATATATACACAAATTTAAAATTTACTCTTTTGCTCCACAAATGACACAATTTACACACTCACTAGTATATATTGATTTTATTCCCATTTGATATTACAAGAGGTGTTATATTCGAATGAATAATCAATGAATGGTAACGGCTAGGAATTATTTATGCACTATTATTTCATATATTCTTATCATATAACCATTCATTTATAGATTATATATATTTATATTTCACTTATTGTAGTCTCTTGTTTGGCGTACTCCCTATTATTATACAATTTACTAATCTACTAATCTATTCTCAGTCTATTAGTTATGGTTTCTCACAATCACAGCCACATTTGGCTTGATCATGTATAATTGTTATTTTTCATTTTATGGTATAATGTGGTCTGGTCTACTTAAATAAAAAGTGCATATGTCCAAACTATACGATTTATACAGTGAAAGCTGAGATTATGTTCTGAACTGAACAGTTAGGGTTATGAGAGAAGTTACTATTTTGAGGATCAATAAAGATTCAGAGTCGATGCAAAGTTGTTAGTATTATTTAACCTATCATTGGTTTAGCACAGGAACAATGTCATATAAGTCAATATTCTTATTGACGATTTTGTTATGCAGTAATTGACATAAACAAAAGTCATAACATGAGGATCTTAGAGTATTTAACTGATTGATAATTGTTCTATTGAATATCATTAACTTCACTCTGTTCTAGATAGATTTAAATTGTTTAAATTTTGAACTTGTTCATTTAAAACCTTGATCTTGGATATTGTCGGTTTTATATTTTGGGAATCTTGTTTCAGAAACTCAAAACTTGAAGATTTGTTGTGTAATTGTTATAACTATTATTAGAATGACATATTTAGGATGATTGCATATGATTTACAAATGAACATTAGAATTTGGTCCTTTTATTATTTGAGATATAAGTTGCAAGTGGATTAATCGACTGTACTTCAGTAATAGATCAGAGAAAATTTTAAACATAACCCTTAATAACTAGTTAATACATTATTATTATTATTATTATTATTATTATTATTATTATTATTATTATTATTATTATTATTATTATTAGCTTTATTCAACATTATATTTTTGGTACAACATAGAATTCTCAGCATAAAGTATTTCAATAAGTTTCCTTTTCTTATACCTTGATCGATTGTGACGATAAATTTTGAATGATGACCAGTCAGATGTTAGGAGTTCGGTAATCCACATTTGATTACTGTTCATTTGTTTCAATGCATATTGCCAGCCACCATGATGTCGCTGATTGTACCTTTTTGTATCCCGTATAGCGAAAGGTTGTAAACTTTTCATAAACGCGCCTGAATAGTTTGTGCGCACAATAGACATAGTGATGTGCTAAAACAAACAACAAAACAGATAACTTGATGAAATATCTAGATCGGAGGAACAGGTAGCCCAGATATTCAAGCAGGCCATAAATACCGAAGCTACAAATTTGATATTGAATGAATACCATGAATTCTATCTTGATTAGGCATCAGAGTGAAATAAATCAATGTCACACTAAACAAAATATTATAATGAGTTAAAGACGTATCTCGTTATATCACTTTCATAACTTCACGTTTATTCTCATTGCAAACTAATATTAGTAGGAAAACCATTGAAAAACCGGGTTAAATAGCATTGAACAAGTGTTCAATTTGAGTTTGAATATCTTGAACAATGTACAATCATACTTGTGTACAAGATCAAACTTTGTCTTGATGACAGTGAGTATTTCACTTTAAAATCATGAAATTAGAATCCCACAGTTCATATTTTCAATGACAAATGAATTCGTGATATAGTATGATTATAGTCCAATCCTGTCTGTATATGACTATCCCAGTTCTCATAAGTCGTCTCTGTGTAGGGATTAACTTGAAAAAAGTATTCGAATGAATTAATTCACATAATATCAGCAATCACTAATTGGGGACGTTAGGTGACATGATTCAGAATTGTTCATTGGAGTAAATGCATTCAGTCGTTACTATATTATAAGTTTTAGGCTTCAATATTATTCATGCATTTTATTGCTTGAATTTATTTCTTATTATTAAACTTTATTCTACAATGTTTAATCATTTTAGTTGTTGAATGAGATTATGAACCGAGTGATGTTAGACCACCATTGAAAACCTGGAAGCACTAGACGTCCATTTCGTCCAATTGTGTGCACCCTCAGCAGTGCAAATCCACGATCCCGCCCATGGGACTCGAACCCAGAGCCTTCAGTCTCGTGCGCGAACTCCCAACCTACTGCTGTATCAGCTTGAATCAATGTACATTTATGTCAGGTTCTAGTCTAATTGTGACTCACAATTTGTAACAATTTAAGTTTGATTGTTAACAGTTGACCAAAACATCGTGATAATGTCAAAACAATATAACCCAAGTAGTTATTCATTTCCTTACTATTCCTTATTACTTATGGAGGATTTACTGTGTTCGCAAAAAATGAATTATCTTGATAATGATTAAAGCTTTTAACTGATACCAGACGAAAACTAATTAGATTATAAAATTAATTTTATCATAGTTTTTGTAATAGTGTTGACTGATGATTAAGAACAAAAATTAAGTCAATGAGACTATAATTTATGGACAACCTTGGAACGACGCCTTAGTGACCCAGAGAATACTCATTTATTTTCTAAGGCTAAATGAAGGTTATAAAGCAATTTAAAGAATAAAGATTATGATTTACAGTTGATGGTTAAGGGTTAATAATTAAATTTATGGTTTTCATCATGAACTGATATCAACTAAAATGTCAAAACACTATTTAGCTGACTGGATAAATGAATTTCGCGTCAAAATTCAAGACCTGTTATCCTAAATCTGATTAGTTCATTCATAAATTATAGTCTGTCCAAAAAGTCTCTTAAAGCTTTAATCAAACAAAGTTTTATACCTTCTCTACATGTCCTAAAATTGGCCACATATTAAAACAGCTTTTGTAATACAATTCATGATTTATTATAATAAGTCAATCAGTTAGTAACAAAGTAGAATTTCGTATGTACGTACCTCAGTTCGAGTTGCCATAAGAAGAATTCAGAAGATTAGAA